TCAGTCGGGTCTATCCGGGGGTCATCCATTCCCGGACGCCCGGACTGTAATTGCTATTTTTCCATGATCTCTTCCGGTGCTCGCCCCTTCTCCTGGCTGGACGCCCCGGCTCGGACGGCCGAATAAAAACAGTTCTTCGCGGACGCTTGGTCCCCCCGGATCTCCATGATACCCTCGGGCGTGGCGAATTTTAACTTCTGGTGGAAAGTGGAGTGGACCGCTCCCAACGCATGCAGCCATGTTCGCCCCATAATCACGTTGTAGGGAGAGTCTGTATCGATCACCACAAACTCGGTGTCGATGACAAAGGGACCAGTGGCAACTGGCAATGTGATTTTACCCACGGGCAAGGCGAATGAGCCGTTGAACCCGATGAGGGGTGTTTTGACTTTGGTGAGGTCTTTGGGGCCAAGACCCATCCGTTTCAGAGTTTCGAAGTACATCACCTCCGAAGAGCTCCTTGAATCTATCAAAATTCTCTTGACATCGAATTTCCCTATCTTCAGGGTCAAGACAAGGGCGTCGTTATGAGGAATCACCACGCCTGTCAAATCCGCGTTGGAGAACGTAATGCCAAGCTCACCCATCCTGGCCCTTTTACTTGATGGCCCCACATCACCCTCGGCTACCTTTCTTGTAAAAGCTACCCTCTTGAGGTCGGACTCGAGCTCCTTGGACGTGGGGCGCTCCAGCGGACATATATGAATGACGTCTATGACGTTGTCCGGTTCCTCGGTCGGGGCAAGGGCTCGTCTCTCTTCTGGCCTAGGCTCTATGTATTCTTTCAAATGTCCGTCTCGGACCAGGCTTTCCAAGAACGATTTGAACACCCTGCAGCTTTCGGTGCGATACCCGACATCCCGGTGATATGAACACCTAACTTTTTGATCACGGTGGAGGGGTCGCTCTGCATCCTGGGCGGCCATTTGAAGAACGGCTCGTGCTTGATTTTATAGAGCAACCTGAAGATGGGTTCCTTGAAGACAGTGTGAACTCCTCTGGACGAACCCCCTGGACGGGGTAGCAATCCCTTTCGGGGAATATCTTCGCGCTCCTTCTCCTTTCTCTTGGATTGGAGGGCTCGGTTTTTGTTGCTTCCCATCTCGTCCTCAACCCTCGAGTACTTGTTAATCTGGGCCATCAGTTCCCCCATATCCGAGGGAGTCTTCTTGGTCAGGGATCGGTATAGGTCCGTGTCCCTCGCCAAGTCGAGCCGAAAAGATGCCGCTGCCACGACCTCCGAGCAGCCTTCTACTTCATTGACCTCTTCCCAGTATCGGATGGCGTACTGGCGAAGAGTTTCGGATTCCCTCCGTCTGAGGGTCAACAATGATCCAATATCTTTGGGGCGTTTACTTCCCGTAATGAATCGAGCCAGGAACTGCCTAGTCAATTCCTTCCAGGACCCAATACTGTTTGGGGGAAGCGTCTCAAACCATTTCATCGCAGAGTCCCCCAAGCTCATAGGAAATACTCGGCAAAGAAACCGGTGGTCTGAATGATAGAGGGACATCATCTGCTTATATTGTCTGATATGGGCTTCGGGGTCGGACCGCCCGTCATAGGTTTTGAACCGTGGTATGACAAATTTTCTTGAGACCTCCATCTCACTGATCTCCCTTGTAAAGGGTGTTTGTATGACTTCGTCCTCGGCCTCATCCTGGACAGTCTTACCCTTTCTCCTGGAGTCTAATCGGGCTCTGAGATCAACTTCTTCCTTGACGGGATGCCTTCTGAAGTCCCTCACTTCATTGGTAAGCCCCTCATTTCCCGGGCGTCGCGTGGATTGGGTTGAGTCCTCCTCGGATTCATCTCCCTTTCTCCGTCTGGACAAACTTCGTCGTAGGTCGTCCAGGGCCAATGGCCTTGCTTTCCTGGACTGGTTGTCATGATGATGTGCGCCGGCTCTGTGTCGCTTTGGGGCCCTAGAGCTTTCTGCTTTGTGGTCTAGGTGGTTTCTTAGATCCTTCGTTTCCGCCTCTTGGGCGGGAAGCCCACGGGAAAGGAATGAATCCCTCGACCCTCCGCCTGAGGCGGCAAACTCGTCGAGCCGGCTAAGAACGTTTACATTGTCCTTCTCCAGCTGACGTAATCTATCGCCAAATTTTTCTTCAATCACCTCCGCCAGCTGACGAGCCAAGGGGGCTGATCCCCCTGACCTGATCCCCATACTGGTCTGAGGGGTAACTCCTCTTGACCGAGTAGAGGCACTTTTATTCGTGTTGGTGTGATCCCTCCCTCCGTGATGACAGGGAGCTTGTAACTCGAGACTCCTTTGGTGGGGTCCTTTCCCTTTCTGTCGAGTGTTCACCATGGTCACTGTTCTTTAGAGAGAAAAGACTAGGTAAATTAGTCGTTTCCCACAGACGGCGCCAGATTGTGCGTGCAAGATCCTGCACAATATAAAAAACGAGAACAGATCTCTCCCCTGGTGAACTTCGGGTAAGCCGGTGGAGTGACCAAACACGCTGCTTGGGACAGCGTGCACGGTACGGTGGTAACCCGGAACGGCAACGGGAGACCCTGGGAAAGGAGTGACGGTCCTGTAAGACTGGAAGAGGTTCCTGGAACAAAGAAGAACAAGTTAGAAGGGCGCCAGAGTGTTTTCCGGCGTATCCCCTCCGACGGTCTAGTCAGTCTTTGAGAGAGAGAGAGAGGATAGAGGAAACACTGAGTGTGTTGTAATAGAGAGTTTGTTGTTGCATACCCGCTTTGCCTTTTGGGAGGAGTATTTATACCTTAAAAACTCATGATTGTTGTCAGTGTGGTCAGTAGGTGATCATTAGGCACAAGTAGCGTGTACATTTGATTCTGATGAGGAATGTCTTCTCTAATTAACTGCTCGGGGTCCCGAGCAATCAATACTGGGTCGTCGGGATGCCGATGGTACAATGTGCTTCTCTCGGGGAGGATGCAATAAATGCTCTGTAATAGGAGCATTTATTGCCTTTCATTTCCGAGCCTTACCGCATTGAATGCGGTCTCATCAAGGGAATGGTGCAATTAATTGTTTGCTTTTCCAAGTCGCGTGTCAGCAACGGCATGCGGTTTGTCTGTCCCTGATGTGATATCATATGTCACGCGTCCATCCCCTATTGCTTGTGACCTCTGTTATTTCAGTACGTTCTGACATTACTTGTGTAAGACGAGGTCATGATGAATAGCCTAGACTAGCCTAGGCTAATGACCTGCACGTCAATAGCTTATCCTGGAGTAGAGGAAGCGTCCAGGAGGGGGTACCTCTCGGCACCGAGGAAAGGCTCCTCTCGGAGACCGAGGGAGGTATGCCGACCGAGGTACATATCAGCCCGAGGCCACGTACCGGTTGAAAAATATACTGAATGTATGATCCTATATGTCGGTACCTCGGGGGCGAGGACCATATGCGCCGATGATACTTGATCTTAGCAACAGTGCTTTAGTAAAACCGAAGACACGTGTCTTCATCATAGAGATTTTTCAGAAAAGTCCCATCATATATATATATATATATATATATATATATAGAGAGAGAGAGAGAGAGAGAGAGAGAGATCACTTTAAAATGTTAAAAATATCACTATTATGGAACTACATTTTGTTAGAACTATATTGTAACCAACCGAGTAACATTTGGGTCAAGTTGAGCAGCATCAAACACAAGGGACATGAGAATTTCCAGGTAAGGGGAAAAATCCCGCTCTTCGTTTCTCCAAAGTTCTTTCCATGTCTGCAATACAAAATGACATTTATCTATTATGTAGTCCAAATAAGCAGATACATAAAAAGGCTTCACATAAAATGGCTCCGACAATCTGCTCCTCTAATGCTCTGCAGTTAATAATAATATGCTATACACATTACTCAATTATGATTGAAGAAATCAAAGGCTAACCACCAAGAAAATATGGTCTCTACTACCTCTGATACCCTTTCTTGCCACGAACGCGTATCATGCTGCGGACCAAATCTCATCAATGATAACCTATCACGCCACAAACCAAGTCTCATCACGAGCATCTCAACTTCCTAAATTAAAAATGAACAACACATAAGCTCCATCATGCCTGCTGATTAAATAATTAAAGTGGTTCTATGTACGTTGCCCACAAGTAATTCATGTGCATGCAATTTATATACAAATGTGGATAAAAGGCGATACCACGGTATTTTCAATATCTCTTGTCACAATTCTATCATCCCCACGTACCCTCACCTCCACTCCTATTGGATCCACCCATCCCAACACTGACTCAAAACCTGAAAAGTTACTTATTATTTTGCTAAATCAAGGAAAATACAAAATTTAAATTTAAAATAGTTTTGTGAGAATAGTTATATAAGTCATTTGGAATGATTTAATTTGATAAGATCAATGCATTATTATTATTAAATCATTCAACATTATAAAAATTTATTACTTGATGAGGAAAGATAGACAACAATAGTGAGGAGCTTGAATGGGGTTGAAAGTTTAATCACAATAGACTTTTGAGGAAGTTGAAAACTGATAAAGAAAGTGAGAGACTGATATGTGCAAATTAAAATATATTTAAAAAAACAAAAATTTCAAAATTAGTTTCTAAGTTTTAAAACTCACAGAAGTACATTTAAATACAAAAAAATAGGAAAAAAAATGCCAATTTTAGATTGAGATAATGAGTGTAAGATTTAGCCATACATAGTCCAAAGGACTTATATTTGTTGTTTTTTGTAACATACATGCATATGAATTATTTGACAATGGGCTTGTTGGGATATTGTACTTGCAATATTAAATGATGATATACCTTTGATACTATAAGACAGCTCCTTATACTCCCATCCAAGTGATCCCTTAGATTGTCCCCAGTGCAATATTTACTGAAAACTAGAATTGCTGAAGCAGCATTGCCCTGCACCATACAAATAACAAAGAATCGATGTGAATTTTTTCTTGTTATAAAAGAAAGAACGTAGTTGATGAAGTTAATAAAACAAGGGCAAAGACGAAAACTACCAACAATGTTCACAATAATAACGATAATGACAACGAACACTAACAATGTCCATTATCTCCTGAGCCATTCATTGCATCTAATCACAAGAAATGAAAAACAAACAAAGAAGCAGTACCGAGCAAAATATTGACAAAAACAACATGAACGAAGTCATGCCTTCATAAATGGTTCAAGGTCCAAATAGCAGTAATTTACATCTTACAAACATAGCCCTAATAGGCAATGGCCATTATCAGCAGGATTGCACACCGGCCAAACATTTCCTGAAGTTAAATCTCCCCTAATACAACACCCGAATAAAGATGAACAAGAACTAGCACACATCAAGCAAGTGACAACAATTGCAAAGGTAGCTTCCCACATCATACAAAAATACAGTGAATAAAACTTACTTGGATGACACTGGACAATTGAAAAACTTAACTTCAATCGTAGCTTATCAATATTCTGTTGACCTAAAACAGATTTTAGTTGATTTTTGGTTGACTTTGAACTTATATTAAAGTGGGACTTGCTCCTTGTTTCGAGTAAATATTTGTGCGTTCGTGTTTTACTCCCTGAAGACAATTACGTGGTATTATTTTTTGCTTAAATCGAGTAAGAAATGAATGAGAAAATAGGCTCCAAAGTGACCTCCTTGATTTATGGAAAGGGTGGGGCTATTCCCACCCCACAAATCTCTATTTTCACCCCATTTAATTTATCATTATCAAACTATAAAGTTCACCCCTTCTATACCCACCACATTAGTAACTAAGTTCACCACATGCTACATACACCTCATTAATAGTTAAACTCAGTCAATCTATGTATACTCCTTTAAATAAAGAAGTCATTGTAAGAAAAAAAAATAAAAGAACGAACAAGGAAAAAACAAAAAAAAAGAAGAAAATCGAAACAAGAAGAAAAAAAAAACTAAGTAAAGATTAAAGGAACAAACAAATCTACAAGATGCAAAACCGAGTATAAATAAAAAAAATAAGCATCAAGCATAGATACAAAATCAAATAAGAATAAAAAACAAATATAGATGCAGAACTTTAACAAGATAAAAAAAATAAATAATCTGAAAATATACATATATATATACACGCATATAAATTTTAAATACAAAAATTATTAAATATGACAGAAATATCAAAACATAACGAAAATAATAAAAATATATATAACAAACATAAAATCAAACATAGAATTAATTTGAGAACTAATATTAACTTGTATCCTATTGAAAAATTTCATATTGAAAAATAATTTTTGTGCGCGCATGAAATGAGATAGAGAATAAAGCTCTAATTATGTCAAAATATAAAGTATGTTCAATTATTAAAAGGAGTGTGTGTAGTATGAAGTGGACTTAGTTACTAATGAGGTGGGTATAGAAGAGATGAACTTAGAAGTTTGATAATGAGAAATTAAATGGTGTGAGAATAGAAATTTGTGGGGGGTGGAAATAGCCCCACTCGTATGGAAACAGAAGTTGTGCAATGTGGGATTTGACATGAATCCCACATTAGTTGAGGAAAAAATTCTACATAAGTATAAATAGGCCAAGTTTGTTCTATGATATTAGACACCAAGGGGTACCACCATTTTATGAGCGGAGCAAATGCCTACATGCCTTCAGTTCAATCAAACACGTGCGTCGCTCGCTTCGCCACGATCCAGCCCAGCTGGACACAGGTGTTGGTTAGACCAAACCTTATCTTTCTGAAAAAAAAATTTGTTTAAAAAATTGAGTGTGAATTTCTTAATTCGAAATATAATTTCGGCACCCGTTGGATTTAAAATTCACACTGATTCAAATTAGTGTTCCCTTTAGTAATAAATTTTAGTTATATCTGTTCAAGAGTAAACAGTAAAACAAAATGGTATCTTCTGAAACACGACAGAAGGAATTGTTCTATTTCCAAACTTCACCTTCAATAAACGTAGATTTATTTCCAATTTTTTTCTATCCTGATCCTGAATCATGTGTCTTTTTAGGTACTGTGACAGATTATCAAGGTTAGTACAAACATAGATAAGAGTTAGGTTCGTCCGGTTCAATTGATTGTGCAATACCGAAGGTGAAACATCTGAAGGTGAGTGAACAAGATTAGCCTTCTAGTGTACCTCCGAAGTCATACTAGGTCTAGCTGACCGACCTTTTATCTAAAGCGTGTCTGTCGTCGTGGCCTTCGGATGATCTCTTTGCTGGCTAGTCTGATCTCATGTGTACCCAGTACCTAACCTTATTCTCCAAGTCACCGACATTGCATGTGGAATTTTCGCTCCAAAAAGGAGAGTCTTGTCTGGGTTGTATCCGTTCGACATGATGACTGTCCGGATCACTCACTATTCTCTCTATACCCAGATTAATTCCACTATGCATCACTGAATTTCGGCATTTAAGGCGTCTCATATAGTCCTATTTTTGACATTAGGAGTTTGCATTTGACAGTACACAACACAATTTCTAGTTCTTTGAACGAGTAGATTAGAGTACTACTTCTATTCGCATGAATATCATTGTATACTGGGAGACAAACGCTTTGATTTCTATAAGCACCAAGTGTGACGGCAAAATTTGTCTTAAAGATATAGTGTCAAACACTAGTCTTGATGGTTAGGTTCTATGGAAGAATGGAGGACTCTACGAGCTTGCAAGCGGAACTTTGGGGCATCCTGAAGGGCCTTGAACTCGTCCAAAGTAGAGGGTTAGGACCAGTGATGGTCGAAAAAGATTCCCTCGAGTTATCCAGTCTTCTTGTTTTTAAGCCACAAGAAACACACCCCAGCAGGGCATTCATTGCCAAGTGTTTTTAGCTAATGGAGGCGAATAGAATTCATATTGTGCATACACGCACGGAAGGAAACCAGTGTGCCGATTTCCTTGCTAACTTGGGAGTCCAACAAGAAGATGCCATGGAGGTTCTTGAAGATCCCCCACCTCAACTGGGGAGCCTGCTGAATACAGATTTAGTTAGTGTTGCATTTACTAGAAAGTCTATTTAGTTTTGATTTAATTTTCCAATGTACCCAAAACAAATAAAAAAAACACTAGTCTTGATCTAAAGAAATTTCAATAACAGTTCTTGATCTGCAAACGGGTTAGTTTATATATTGGTTTGATTACAAATTTATGTGTAACTATTTCGTACATACTTATAACTGTTTCGTGCATACTAGTTTAACTATTTCGTTCTTGACTCTTTATAATTATTCTAAGTTGCATGATATAAATAAGAGATTTTAATAAGTAATTTTACTATATTTAGAATACCATAAACAACAAATTCAAGAATGTGATGTAAAAAATAGATCCAATAACAAAAGGGGAGCAGTAGAAGAAGGAAGGGCTAAAGGAACCGATGCTTCCAAAACACTCATGACCCCCACTCAACAATTAACAAACCTCTTAAACATGTGCAGTCGTGACATACATATAATGCTTGCACAATTAAACTACATGATCCCCACTCAACAATTAACAAACCTCTTACACATGTAATATGAAATGTTAAAAGTACAAATTCATAAGTTCCACATTCTCTAACAGTTTAAACTTTTAGAATAAATAATAGTTTAACATAGTATCAGAGCAGAAGTCCAATGTTAAGGTCTCGTCGCCACCTGATCATAAATTTTTTTTCATGTGCTAGACATAAAATCAGCCTATATCTGAGGAGTTATGTAAAAAAATAAATATTTGAATTACACTCTTCCTAACAACTTAAATTTTTAGAATAGACGATGATTCAAAACATAAAAATAAATATCATCATCGAGTGATCTCTTCTTTCATCAAAATGGTAGACTGTAATTTGCATACGAAGGACAATTGAATTGTAGTTGTCCATGAGATAGACAACTAGTCCTTTTATGAACAAAATTTTATTCCTTCATGTTTAGGAAAAATAGCTCAGGAATTGTTGGACAAAAATTTTGTGAGTTTGTGTTCTATTTATTCTGCGAGAATAATAATATAGTCTTGTTCAAATCGAGTAAGAGCTCAATGAGAAAATAGGTTATAAAGTGATAGTCTTAGAATGTGGAAATAAAGGTTGGGGCAAAGTGGGATTTGACACTAATTTCACATTGGTTGGGCAAAAATACTTCAGTTGCACTTTGGGTTTCACCTTCCATTATGCAATTGAATCAGTTTTATGTGTTACTATTTTACTCTTAATTGTATGATTTATATTAAAAACATCAATAAGTATTTTGCGTACATGACACATCCTCCTAACAGAAAGAAGGAAAAAACTTGTCATCTATGTTAAAAGAAAACAACTAAAATGTGGATTTCCTCATAAATGTTTAGAGTCCATTAATTCGTTGAAAAAGTTAGCAAGATTGAGAGTCATGTCCCAAACAAGTTCAAATGCAGAGTAAAAGTACATAAATAAGTACACTAACCCGCATTTCTTGAATTGGGGAGTCATTCATCACTTCAGCTAATGCAGGCAACACGAGGTGACATCCGACTTGTAAGTGGTTGCCCAAATCTGTAGCCAACTTCTTAATTGCACGAATAGATGCATTCTTCACAACAGGGTTGTCATCTTGAAATGAGCTCAAAAGTTTTGACATTACTAGTTCGAAATTTGTTCTCATCACCTGTGTCCACAAAATGAAAAATCAAAAAATGTATCCGAAAAATCTCCAAACCATAATGATGATTGACAATCAATCGATCATATTCAATTCTCAGCATTAGACTAAAACTAGTGAGCACCCCTTGTCATGCTCGGATTTTTTATTTCTTCTTTCCATCGTCTTGCCATCAAATCCTCCCCAGCTCTAATCAGACAGGGAATTGTGAGTAGACCTATGGGTGCCACCCCCCCCCCCTAAAATTTTAAAAATTACCATTCTTCCCCTATATTTTGAGAAATAGTAACCTCTTACTTTTCAAAACACCCAATATTTAACTATATCACTTTATGCATTCAAAAAAGATTAATGAATTTAGTAACCATTTAGAAGAATGTAATCAAATGGATGAGTGTCGTTTGTGCTAATGAAGACACTTGTTGGATTATTTTGATGATCTGAAGAAAAAATAAGTCATTTTTTTGCAATCATACTTTATTTATTGACATAAAGTTAAATTATAAACAAGAAAAAAAGAGGATGATAATATAATCACAAATAAATTTTTATGATGGTATGATCCAATTTTTGAGTTTTGTGCTCAAAATTAATTTTTTCACTGACATTACATAAAAATCAAATTTAATAGGTTCTTTATAAATAACAATTTATCATTAACAATGACCATTGAATAACCTTATTGAATTAAATTTTTGTCTATGTCATTGTTGACCCCCCTCAAGATAAAAATTTAGATTATGTTCATGACTTAAATTTATGTGGTAAAATGGTATTCACTTAAATTTTAAATAATTAAAAAGGTGATTGAAAATTAAATTACAAGTAGTTTAAAGAAGTGGTGGAAGAATTTAATTGGAACGAGGTAATTAAGCATTATTAAATTGATTGTTTTTTATATAGAGAGAAAGAGAGATGTAATGAAAAACAAATAGAAAATAAATTGTGAAAGACAACCGATCACAAAACATAAATTATGGTAATAACAAGAAAGCAATTAAGTGAAATGATGTCAAAAACGCAATTCTTTTGTTTTTTTTTTTTGACCAAAAACACCATGCGGTAACAACAAAATAAATGTAAAAACAAAAGCAATTATAAAAAGCAAAGCTTTGATACCTTCCAACATCCTTCTATACTCGCTGCGAGCACAATGAATGCGCTATACTTCTTTTGCCACTTAGGAGTATCCAAATACGCCGGCAACACTTCCAAAACAATAGAAAACATATCATTCCTATGCACCGCAATAAACAGCATATTCAAACATTTCCTCCAACGCCAATGATTACTACTCTCCCATGCAGACACATAATCCGCATTATGATCATCATCATTAATATAGTCCAACATTTTCATCAAAATTTCAAACAACTCCCTCACATTCTGCTGCAGCCATGGCGCTATCTCCTCGACCTCCACCAATTTCGAAAGGAACTCAATGGCCAAACGCCTCGTCCCTACGTTCAAACCATCATTATTCGCAATCTGCCACATTCTCTTCACCCACTCCTCAATTTGCCCCACCAAAAACCTCGGTTCCGCAAACTCTATCAACAACTCCAACACCTCGCCGGCCATCGCTTCGTCCCTATCCTCCAACACTTTCTCCAACATGGACAGCATCGAAGTCAACAAGTCCGAACACTGAGAGAAATTAATTGCGGCCCCCAAAGCAGCAACACGGACATCCCATTCTATCTCTTTTAACAAACACTGCCATAAAATTGAATGCAACTTATCATCCAAGCCAAAAAATCTAAAAAATAGAAAAATATTTGATATCAATTAATTTAAATTTAAATTAATTTAAAAAATTGGTGGGAATGGTTACTTAATTAAAAAAAAAGTGATTAAAAATTAAAATTTAAAGTAGTTTAAAAAAAATGTAGGAGAAAATATTAGATAATTATATAGACCAATTAGGACTATTATACATGTAGTTTAAATAGGGTAATATTGTTGGATAAGTCAAATATTTTGTATATATATAAATATATTTAGGTTTGTAGAATTTTTTTAATTGGTGAGAAGGCTTGTGGAGGAGTCTGTCTCATGAACAAAGAAGAAAAAAAAATAATGAGAGAGAGAAGAAAGAAGGAAGAAAAAGACAAGTGGTTAGGTCCCTTAAAGATGAGTTTATTATTTATTTGATGGGTTTTATAATTTATTCAACCACATGAAATTATTAGATTGAATTTAGATTTGTAGCTGGTTAATCAATAGGTTGAAAAAATAAGAAAAGGGGTTGGAGTTGTTGTTGCATAACAAACAACCTGGGAATTTCGTAGGTGGAAGAAGTCAAAGTCCAGAAATTACATAATTCACCTCTTTGACTTCAAGGAACTTTACCTTGACCCCTATATTCCTTGAAATTTAATTTTTAACCAACTTTTTACTTAGAAAGTTGCAAAAATAGAATTCTGGAAAATTTATGGCATCCTTGAAGCCACAAAATTCCTTTTTTAAAGAAATTACACTTTGACTCAAAAGTTTCAAAAATTATGATTTTTTCGGAAGATCAATAGAACTATATTAAAGAACAAAAAACATGTACAACAAGGCCCCATATTCTGGAACCTAACAAAAAGAACCAAAATGTAAGCCTAACAAACAACTCAAAAGGCACAACTTGGACAGAGAATTTTGATGGAAGTATAGGATATGAGCCAGAACTTCCATCCAAATACATAATCCAAGTTGCGAGATGTGAACACTTAAAAGGCAAAGAGCCAGAGGAGCTCAAAACATTTGGAAGCCAAAGATTACTCAGATCTACCAAGCTTCAGGGAGGTTCCATTGTTGCAGCAAATTTGCATCATGTTGAGTTCTCTTGAATTTCAAGGATATGAGCCTTTCTCTAATGCTTTGCTTGATGGATTGAAATAGAGAATTTGGGTCTTTGCTCTGCTTTTGAAAATTCTCCCATTCCTCTCAGTCCACAAAGAATAGACAATAACTGAGAGACTAAGCTTTAAAAGAGTTGTCTTCATTGATTTTTCTCTCCACTGTTGAGCAACCCATGAGATTGAATCAATCCATTGTCTCTGCTGCCATTGTTGTTTGCTTAGAAGCATAACACAATTCCAAACCCTATTAGAGAAATTACATTCAAAAAACAAATGGTTGTATGTTTCTTCAGCACTCCTGCATAGAACACATTGTGAGTCAATCTGAGATGCAAATCTTTGAATTCTGCCCTTGGTACTCAGTTTACATCTAATAGCAAGCCAGAGGATGAAGGCCATTCTTGGGATAGCTTTACCATACCAAACTAGATAATGCCATTGCACGGTTGGTCCTTCACTACTGATATGTTCCCAGACAGATCTAGCAGAAAACTTACCTCCCGTAGTTAAAGCCCACTAGATTGAGTTTTTTAATAATTTACCTCCAAATCTTAATATCAATATCTGAGTGCAGATCTTGTGGTATGCACGACAGTGAGACAAATTAAATTGACCTTATGAGAATGTTGCTAAAATTTAAAGTGATTATTGTACTTACATTTGGGCTATTATGCTAATGTATTTGTTCACTGAATGACATAAAAAAATTGACCATTTAGAGAAGTTTTTCACTATAATATTGTGTAAAATTTGTTTGTTCTCACTTCAGAGAAGTTAGATAAGAATTTTGATGCCTCACTTGACCCAAAATAGTTTGCAGTGAAATTTTTTCTGACTTTGGGGGGTTTATCTTTAGCTCCAATATCATATTAAAGTTTCTGTGCGGCTGATCTTTTTATGATAGGTTTTTGGAGGAATCATTATGTGTTGGGAAGTTGCGGCATAGAAGACTGGCTAATGCAAAAATTATGATTTGACCTCAAAATTTTTGAAACTTTTTATAAACTGTCCAAATTACTTCCATACCCTATTAACTCACATTAAAAATATTATTTCTATGTAAAGGATATATAAAGTATATATCAATGGGTCGGAAGTATAAAAATTAAATATAGAATCCTAAAATGACGAAATTAGAAATATGAATTGATCGTTATATGCTATTTTGGATTAAGTAGTGATTGCATTGAGGTTGAGAAAGATGACTTTGAATTAGATTTTGAGAATCAAGGTAAGTAGTTTACTACTTCTTTTTGGAAGATTTTATATATTAAATGTGTAGGTACGTGCGTGTGAATTTTTTATATATATGATATATGTGTTGATATTTGAGGTTGCAATTAAATGTTTTACAATTGTGAACTGCTATACATCTAAAATTTTGAAAAACTTGTGGGATGATTTTATATCATTATTTTGGTAGTAAAAGAAAAATTTTGTGTGTGTTGGAATTAAACGATAGTTTTGGTGCGTGTGAAAATCATGTTTATGAGACGAGTACTAGGTTATCAGGTCTAAATGGTAACAAGATTGTATACTGGTGTGATCGGTATAGGAGTATGCACATAGGAGACAGTCAGCATGCTAGTGATGACAAGAGACGGGACCAGTTACCAGGCTAGTGGTAATAAACATGATTTGACAAATGTATTTGGAATTAAATGTATGTATGAGTTTTGGGTTACAAATGTCTTTTCATTTATAAAATTATTTGTGAAAATGAGTGGTGTTTTTGGGTTATAAATGTCTATTCATTTATAAAATTCTTTGCTAAGTGATCTTCAAAATTTTAATTTGCATCTTGAAAGATTAAAAATTTGCCGATTGCACACTCAATCAAATAAAAATATAGTAATGTTGTCCAAAATCATATGTACGTTGCTTTTTTGACAACTTTTTTTTGAAAACTTCAACTGATTTGCTTCAGAATAGAATTTCAATTGCCCATCAATGAATCATGTATCATATGGTGTAGAAGTTACGATGAGCACCCCCACCCCCACCCCCTCGGCACAAAAGAAGCTTTTCTTTTCATCCATTAAGCCTTTTAATGATGTTAAGTTTGAATTAATTAAATGCTCGCAATTTCATGACATCATATGGTGCTAAAGTTAAAAAAAAACCATTTCCAGATATCATGAATCACAAAAAAAATAGGAAAATGAATTGTGAAAACTCAGATATTAAAAGTAAATTTTCCCTATCCAATGTAAACAAGGCAAATTGATGCTACTTTCTATTGAGGGTCACTTCATACAAGATAGGGATAATGTTGGCATAATTATATTAGTGAGGAAAAAAAAAGATATTCGCAACACCAAGTTCTATTCAGTGTTGAATACAGGAATTCTTTCATAATCTTCCAGCAATTAAAAATAATAAGTTAGAGGTACTCAAGAAAAAAAGCAAAAAATTGAGACTCCACCAATACTTTGAACCTAGTTTCTTTCAGTTGGAATTTTATAAAATGTAGAAATGTTTTAAAACTCTTAGGTGGTGGCCCAACATTTTGATGAATTTCTTCAGGAGCAGTTGGGCACTAAAGTGAAATGAATCCACTGCCAGTTAGGCACCAAAGTAATGCCAATGGCACCCACACTCACTAATCTATACCCACTAGCCGTTTGATATAAGGCTACCACCTCCACTCACAAAATACACACTGACTTGCACTCTTATCTGTCAATGGATTGAATTTTGATCCGAATCTGATTAGCCGAATATGAATTATTAATTTTTACCTATTATCCAAATCTATTATGTTATATTTAATGGATTCGGATATGAATTTATCAAATTTGATCCGAATTGTATATATACCTTTTATTTTTATATTTTATATCCCGTGTGAGTTTATATACATCGATAACTTTTCATCTGCAGCATTTTTTTCCTTTTTTCTTCTTCTTCACTATTTATAACTAAAATTGAGGTTAGCATATTTAATTTATGTTGCTTGTTAAGGCTTCAAATGAGTAAGCATTATAATTTTTTGGTTCTAACGAGCTAAATTTGTTAAAATTTGTGAGATATTTGTAGGTTGATTTTATTTTGTACACAAACAAATCGGATCGAATTTTTGAACCGGATATCCACAAGTTAATGGATTCGGATATGGATTACAATTTTCAAATCTGTCGGATAATCGGGTCGGATTGAATCACGTAAATTATATTCGGATTCGGATATGATAGAATTTAGTCCATATCAAATCCGTTGACAGGCCTACTCTTATTTCCCCTCTTATATATCTCTCTCTTTTACCAATTTGTTATTATTATATATTATGTATTTTTTTAGATTCTTGATATTTTAGGCAACAAGATCAAGACTTGATAATTTTTCTCTATCGTATGTGCCCGATGTGAAGAGTGGCTGCTAGCTTGGGATTGTATCTTAAAGATTTCATTGCCAATAATATGTGCACGTAGGGAGGCCACAAGAGCTTTAGGACAACGTTTTATACACCTCTCCAAATCGAAGGTGATCACTTTATTTGCTTTTATCTCAATTCTTTTTCAATTATATATTTATTTGTGAGCTATATAATTTTGTGGTAAATATTTTACTAGTATTGATATAATTTAAATCTATATTTGTCCAACAAAATTAAACGGTGGCCACCATTTTCTCGAATAAATCTGAAACAAAATAAAGTATTTAGAAGCATACAAGTCCCAAAACAAAAGATGAATTTTTTTGAAGTTATAAAATCAGGACCAGGAAAAAAAATAGTGTAGAAATTAAAATTATTACAACACAAGATGAATGGTACTGATAGAGTGCAATTCGACACTCCAAGGCAAAAGTTCAAAAAAATAAAATAAAATAATTTCTACTTCTTTAAAATCACTTTTCTATAAACTATTTCATCACTGCCGCCACTGCCTCACCATGCTGCCTCCACCCCCGCCACACATTTTTTCTTTTAATGTTTTTCTGTTTGAGCATTCAAACGGTGTTTGTTTAATGAAAGCACTTTTTTATAAAATACTTTTAAAAAATAATTGTTTAAGAAGTGCTTTTTGAATTTTATAAGAAATCCTGAACAAAACCTAACTACTGTATGCAGTCATTCAAAGCATCCAATATGTCATAACGAACATCCTCATCAGGTTCCTGAAAGCCAAATGCAGTTCAAACAGATCAATATAAGAGCAAAAACTCCACTATTTAAAGTTCTAAAAAAAAATATTATTTGACATTATTAAGCCTAAAAAATCAGGTAAGATAGACACAACTGACCACATCTGAAGCTTCGTTTAAAGCACGTATGACCCTATCAGATAACTCCTCGACGTATTGCATAGCGTGATCATAGTCCTCTGGGTCGCTGCTTTCTACAACTTCTCTAGCTGAATTCAGTATCTTTGGCATGGCTGTTGCACAAAGTAAAAAGACAGCATAAGAAAATTGACTAAGATCTACGCACACGCGCGCGCGCTAACAGATAGTAACAATTCGAGTAAATTACAGTTTTACCCCTCTAAACTATTATCCTTATTTTATTTTGTACCCTTAACTATAAAATTTTTCACATTATATCAATTGGAGTTATATGAAATAAAATTGATACTTTAAGGTATAATATGAGAAATTTTATAGGTAAAGGTAAAAATGAAATAAGAGTAATAGTTCAAGAGGATAAAGTGTAATTTACCCTAATAATTCCAATCGGTCTATCGTACCTGAAGCAGCAGCCATTCTAATTGCTTTGGCAGAATAACATTCCGGAGGTAGAAGCACAGCATCAGCAAGAGGTGGATCCGGATACCGTCGCCAAAATCGAATCAGTGCATCATCAACAGGTGGATCTTGACCCCATTTCAAAAATGGAACCAGTGCATCAGCAACCTAGATGATTTACAAATGTTTAAAAAACCACTGCCATAACGAGTTTAACAAGGGATACTTAAAATTAGACGTATCAAAATTTACCCGACCAATCTCGGGAACAAGTAATTTCGTCAACTCATCGACACACAAGCACAGCACGCGACAAGCCATAGCCATAGCCATAGCCTTTTCCATTTTCTTATCTCCATAATACCTACGTGTAATACCAACAACAGTGCAATAAAAATTAAAGTTGTTGAATTAAGAAAGTGAGTTTGGTTGGATAACAAGAAACATCACTATTCATGTGTTTGTGTGTGTATATATATATATATATATATATATATATATATATAGAGAGAGAGAGAGAGAGAGAGAGAGATCACTTTAAAATATTAAAAATATCACTATTATGGAACTATATTTTGTTAGAACTATATTGCAACCAACCGAGTAACATTTGGGTCAAGTTGAGCAGCAGCAGCATCAAACACAGGGGACATGAGAATTTCCAGGACAGGGGAAAAATCCCGCTCTTCGTTTCTCCAAAGTTCTTCCCATGCCTGCAATACAAAATGACATTGAAGAAATGAAAAGACAACATAAAAATGCTTCACTTCTACTGTCTGCTGGGGCAGTTAATATACTATGCACATTAATTATGATTGAAGAAATCAAAGGCTAACCACCAACAAAATATGGTCTCTACTAGTACCTCTGAAAACCTCTCAACCCTCCGACGATGGATTTCCTAAATTAAAAATGAACGAGATATAAGCTCCATCATAAAATGCCAACTAATTAAATAAGCAGATATATAAAAAGATAACTTCGACAATCTGCTCCTCTAATGCTCTGGCAGTTAATATGCTATATACTATACACATTACTCAATTATGATTGAAGAAATCAAAGGCTAACCACCAACAAAATATGGTCTCTACTAGTACCTCTGATAACCTCTCAACCCTCCTCTGACCATGGATTTCCTAAATTAAAAATGAACGAGATATAAGCTCCATCATAAAATGCCAACTAATTAAATAAGCAGATATATAAAAAGATAACTTCGACAATCTGCTCCTCTAATGCTCTGGCAGTTAATATACTATATACTATACACATTACTCAATTATGATTGAAGAAATCAAAGGCTAACCACCAACAAAATATGGTCTCTACTAGTACCTCTGATAACCTCTCAACCCTCCTCCGACCATGGATTTCCTAAATTAAAAATGAACGAGATATAAGCTCCATCATAAAATGCCAACTAATTAAATAAGCAGATATATAAAAAGATAACTTCGACAATCTGCTCCTCTAATGCTCTGGCAGTTAATATACTATATACTATACACATTACTCAATTATGATTGAAGAAATCAAAGGCTAACCACCAACAAAATATGGTCTCTACTAGTACCTCTGATAACCTCTCAACCCTCCTCCGACCATGGATTTCCTAAATTAAAAATGAACGAGATATAAGCTCCATCATAAAATGCCAACTAATTAAATAAGCAGATATATAAAAAGATAACTTCGACAATCTGCTCCTCTAATGCTCTGGCAGTTAATATACTATATACTATACACATTACTCAATTATGATTGAAGAAATCAAAGGCTAACCACCAACAAAATATGGTCTCTACTAGTACCTCTGATAACCTCTCAACCCTCCTCCGACCATGGATTTCCTAAATTAAAAATGAACGAGATATAAGCTCCATCATAAAATGCCAACTAATTAAATAAGCAGATATATAAAAAGATAACTTCGACAATCTGCTCCTCTAATGCTCTGGCAGTTAATATGCTATATACTATACACATTACTCAATTATGATTGAAGAAATCAAAGGCTAACCACCAACAAAATATGGTCTCTACTAGTACCTCTGATAACCTCTCAACCCTTCTCCGACCATGGATTTCCTAAATTAAAAATGAACGAGATATAAGCTCCATCATAAAATGCCAACTAATTAAATAAGCAGATATATAAAAAGATAACTTCGACAATCTGCTCCTCTAATGCTCTGGCAGTTAATATACTATATACTATACACATTACTCAATTATGATTGAAGAAATCAAAGGCTAACCACCAACAAAATATGGTCTCTACTAGTACCTCTGAAAGAGTATCTTCCCACGAATGCCACGCTCTTGATCTCACCACGAACTCCTTGACTTTCTAAATTAAAAATGAACGACACATAAGCTCCATCATAAAATGCCAACTAATTAAATAAGCAGATATATAAAAAGATAACTTCGACAATCTACTCCTCTAATGCTCTGGCAGTTAATATACTATATACTATACACATTACTCAATTATGATTGAAGAAATCAAAGGCTAACCACCAACAAAATATGGTCTCTACTAGTACCTCTGATAAACTCTTAACCCTCCAACGATGGATTCCCTAAATTAAAAATGAACGAGATATAAGCTCCATCATAAAATGCCAACTAATTAAATAAGCAGATATATAAAAAGATAACTTCGACAATCTGCTCCTCTAATGCTCTGGCAGTTAATAATAATATACTATACACATTACTCAATTATGATTGAAGAAATCAAAGGCTAACCACCAACAAAATATGGTCTCTACTAGTACCTCTGAAAGAGTATCTTCCCACGAATGCCACGCTCTTGATCTCACCACGAACTCCTCGACTTCCTAAATTAAAAATGAACGACACATAAGCTCCATCATGCCAGCTAATTAAATAATTAAAGTGGTTCTATGTACGTTGCCAACAAGTAATTCATGTGCATGCAATTTACATATAAATTTGGATAAAAGACGATACCACGGTATTTTCAATATCTCTTGTCACAATTCTATCAATCATCCCCACGTACCCCCACCTCCACTCCTATTGGAACCACCCATCCCAACACCGACTCAAAACCTGAATAGTTACTTATTATTTTGCTAAATTAAGGAAAATGCAAAATTTAAATTTAAAATGGTTTTATGGGAATAGTTATATAAGTCATATGAAATGATTTAATTTGATAAGATCAATGCACTATTATTAAATCATTCAACATTATAAAAATCTATTACTTGATGAGGAAAGATAGAGAATAGTAGTGAGGAGTTTGAATGGGGTTGAAAGTTTAATCACAACAAACTTTTGAGTATGTTGAAAACGGATAAAGAGAGTGAGAGACTGATATGTGCAAATTAAAATATATTTAAAAAAAAAAAATCTTAAAATTAGTATCTAAGTTTTAAAACTCATACAAGTACATTTAAATACAAAAACATAGGAAAAAAATATGCCAATTTTAGATTGAGATAATGAGTGTAAGATTTAGCCATACAGGGTCCAAAAAACACTTATATTTGTTGTTTTTCGTAACATAAATGCATATGATTTATTTGACAATGGGCTGGTTGGGATATTGTACTTGCAATATTAAATGATGATATACCTTTGATACTATAAGACAACTCCTTATACTCCCATCCAAGTGTTCCCTTAGATTGTCCCGAGTGCAATATTTACTGAAAACTAGAATTGCTGAAGCAGCACTTTCCTGCAGCATACATATAACAAAGAATCGACGTGAATTTTTTGTTGTTATAAAAGAACGAACATAGTTGATGAAGTTAATAAAACAAGGGCAAGGACGAAAACTACCAATAATGTTCACAATAATAACGATAATGACGACGAACACTAACAATGTCCATTATCTCCTGAGCCATTCATTGCATCTAATCACAAGAAATGAAAAACAAACAAAGAAGCAGTACCGAGCAAAATATAGACAAAAACAACATGAACGAAGTCATGCCTTCATAAATGGTTCAAGGTCCAAATAGCAGTAATTTACATCTTACAAACATAGCTGTGCGGGCGTGATCCTGCACGGTATATATAGAATATTGGGAACAGATCTCTCCCCTGGTGAACTTTGGGTGAGCCGGTTGAGTGGCCAAACACGCTACTTGAAACAACCTTCGAGGTACGGTGGCAACCTGGAACGGCAAAGGGAGATCCTGGGAAAGGAGGAACGATCCTGTACGTGTGAAAGGTATTTTCTGGAACAAAGGAGAACAAGTTAGAAGGGCGCCGGAGTGTTTTCCGGCGTATCCCCTCCGACGGTCTAGTCAGTCTTTGAATGAGAGAGAGGAAGGAGAAAACACTGAGAAGGATATTTCGTAGTTGAGAGTTTGAGATTGCATACCCGCTTTGTCTTTTGGGAGGGGTATTTATACCTTAGAAGATCATGATTGCTGTCAGTGTGGTCAGTAGGTAATCATCAGGCACAGGTAGCGTGCGTAATCATTTGATGAGGAATGTCTTCTCTAATTGACTGCTCGGGGTCCCGAACAATCAATGCTGAGTCTGTCGGGACGCCGACGGTACAATATGCTCCTGTCGGGAAGGATGCAATAAATGCTCTGTAATAGGAGCATTTATTGCCTTTCATATCCGAACCTTACCGCATTAAATGCGGTCTCGTCAACAGAAGGGTGCAATTAATTGTTTGCTTTCCCAAGTCGCGTGTCAGCAACGGCACGCGGTTTGTCTGCTTCGGATGTGACATTATTTGCCACGCGTCCATCCCTTATTGGCTGTTACGTCGGTATTCCAGAACGTTCTGACATTACTTGTGTAAGAAGAGGTCATGATGACTAATCCATACTGGCATAGGCTGATGTCCAGTATGTCAGTAGCCTTATCCGGGAGTAGAGGAAGCGTCCAGGATGGAGTGACCCTCGGCGCCGAGGAAAGGCTCACCTCGGGACCAAGGGGGTGGTGTGTCCCCGAGGTACATGGTGACCGAGGACACATGTCATTGTATAATGTACCGAATATGTGATCCTATATGAGAGGTACCTCGGGGAGAGGACGCCTTGCCGATGGTGCTCGAACCCGAGCAACATTGTTCTAAAAACCCCGAGGACACGTGTCTTCATCATAGGCTTTTCAGAAGAGTCCCATCAACTGCCCCCCAGCCTTCGATCTTCTGACACCGAGGACACGCGTTGTCAGGAGACGAAGGGTTTTTCCAACTGCCATCCGTCCTTCATTATGGCCTCGAGCAGCTTTCCCCGTCTTGGGATGTCGTGCGCATTAAATGCGCTGTTTTTGGTTCTCCCGCCCAATGATGACAGTTTCCCCCCTATATAAAGGGGGTTCTTCTCCGGTTTCCTTCGTTTTGCCATTCCGATCTCTGACCCAGAATACGCCCTTTCTGATCTGCTCGCCGGAGTTTTTGTTTCCTCAGCCATCGTTGACAGCATCTTCTCTTTAAAACCTCAGCCAGTAAAACCCTTTGTTGACTCCTGGTCCTTCCGGTGCGAGCCATTTTTCAAAGTTTTTCCTGAAAAAACTCCGTTTTCGACGTCTTCTGGTGAGTTTCACAACCTTCTTCTTTATCGTCCTCCTAGCCTTCTTGTTTTCCGATTTGAACAGTGGTGTCATCCGGTCGGTACGTCTCGATTTAAACCCTCGGGGAACTTCCTCGGGTTTTCAAGAGAGCACCTTTTCCTTCCCTTTCTTTTAGAGATGCCTCGTCGTCGCCCTGTTCCCGAGAATCCATCGGCTGGTCCCTCGGGGTCAGGGAAATACAAGGTGACAGGCGAGGCACAGATTGATAGGTTCAGGGCGAAGTATGGCATCCCCCGAGCGTGGACGTAGTGGGCTTTAACCCTTTGTTGAACTCTCCTACCTTCGGGGCCGCGGATGCCATGCCTTTCTATACCAAGGCCATCATAGAGGGTGGCATTAGGTTTCCTTTACCCCCCCTGCTTCTTCAGTTCCTGTCTCGCTTCCGTCTCTTCCCCGGGCAATGCTGCCTCAACGTCTTTCGGATAATTATGGGGGTCCTAGAGCTCAATAGGCGCCTCGGGGTGAATATTGGGCTCAATGATCTTCTTTTCTGTTACTCCCTCCTAAGAGTCATGCCCCACCAACATTTCTACCTCAAAGCCAGGGACCCCTCTATGTACCTTGTAACCCATCTTCCTGACTCGGACAAGGGGTACAAGGACGACATCTTGATCTTCAAGGGATGTTGGGAGAGGGGTGTCGGTCCCGAGTACAATGACTATTTTGCCCTCGGGAATGGAGAACGACAAGTACGTCGGTTCCTTTGGGTCTTTTATTTGTTTCTTGGGACTTCTCATGTTTATGACAATCTTTTTTGTTGTGCAGGTATTCCTTCTCGGGAAACAGCTCCACCCCCTCGGTCGCTGGTCAATTTTGCCGACCTAATAACGGTTTGGAGTTTCACGGGCGCCGACGGATTTGGCCGAGCTGCCCATAACCTGCTGCACTATACCCCCGGGTATAAGAAGTTCTCACAGCTCCCTCAACCTTTCGAGCCTTCGCAGTGGTCAGAGCTCTTTGATCAGGCGGCGAGGCTAGAGGTCGAGCAGAACTTGGAGGAAGACCCGGATCGGGCTTCAGAGGGAGAGGTAGAGGGAGTTGCTGAGGAAGTCGGGGTCAGAGAGGACGTTGCTCCTTCGGACGCCGAGGTGGGGACTTCGGGAGGCGACTTGTGGCCCGATTTTCAAATTCTCCAATCTTTGGACGCCGAAGACGCTCTCGAGGAAGCGATGTCCAACGCCCCTCGCATTAATTTGGGGTTTCTTAGGCAGAGGCAATCCCTCGCGGCCGGGAGAGGTCGAGGGACGGCCGGCGGTACTCCGGCAGGAACCAGCTCTGCCCCATCATCAAGGGTTCCTGATCGGGGTCAGGTGCGAGATCGGGACCCTCAGGTGGAGGAGGAGAGGAGGGTGAAGCATCGGCACGATGGCCTCAGCCGAGGACCCAGGGTGCCTCCCGCTCAGCAGCAAAGCGGGAGGGATCGTGGATTACCCTCTACTCCCTCACAACAGCAGCAACCGCAGCAGCAAACTCGACAACAGCAGCAACTACAGCAGCCCCGACAACAGCAGCAGCAGCAGCAGCAGCAGCAACAGCAACAGGCTACTCCTTCCCTCCCATCCACAGTGGAGGCCGCGGTGTGGAATCCTCGGGCTACTGATCACATGAACCGAGTGATCAGGGTCGATGATTCCATTCTGCAGGATCCCCATGTCGCCTATGCAGTGAGTGAGACATTGCATTTTGAGGCTGACATGGAGGCTCATCGGGGGCGATCAACCAACGTGTTGTTCCGCTCCATGATCCAGAACTCCCTGGTGGTGAGTTTATTCCCGTTTCGATCCCTTCACTCTTGTTTTCTACTTTTGTGTTTTAACACTCTTTCCTTCTTTTACAGGCTGCCCAGCAGATTTCTATCATAGCTGGCCGGTACCACGCGTCCAGGATGGACCTTCAGAGGGCCAAGGATCAGAAGGCTGAAGCGGAAGCTGCCCTTGCTCGGGCAACGGAAGATGTTGCTGCCAGGGATTCTACCCTGGCGGGGCAGGCTGCCCAAATAGAGCAACTCCTCAAGGACGCTGAATCGGCCAAGTTGGGCGCTGAGAAGCTAAGTGCCGCACTTGCCGATGCTGAGAGGAGAATTACTGAGCAAACGCAGCGGCTCTCGGCTGCGGAGGAGAGGGCAGTGGGCTCCGAGGAAAGCTGTCTGGCCCTTACCCAGGAGCTAGACAGGATCAGGGCCGAGGAGCTGAACCGGAAGTCGGAGCAACAACTTCTGGAGGAGTTTGCCGATGACGTGCTCCCCGCTCTTGAAGAAAATAGCAAAGAGTTTTTCAAGAAAGGGTGGGACGAGGCGCTCCAGGCTGCCGGAGTCCCGTCAGACTCCCCACTCTTCCAAGTGCACAACTATGTGCCCTCGGCAGAGATGGAGCAGGCAGAAGCACAAGTTGCTGCGGAGGATGACGCCCCTACACCGATGCAGACCTCGGCTGATGCTCCCG